TGAATATGGGATGCGTGCTTAATGTTAGTTCTTAAAGTTTCTATTGAATTGGGGCTTTTGGTTGGGGTGGAGGAATTTAGTTCTTCAAGGAAAAAAGCTTCTTCTAAGTGTACAAAAGTAACTTGTTTCGGTATCTAGCTGGCTTTATTTGTATGATTTCCTTCATGAAATTTACTAAAACCCAAGTTAGCTTAACAATTGCAGAAGTGTATGAGTATTCTTTGGTTGACAATTAATTTTGTTACACTTCCTTTATATGACCAAAGTACATTTGCTCGGATGAGTAGTTCACCCAATATTTAACAAGTATGCTTAACTGTGGCAGTTGAAGGATATGGCTGAAAGGTTACCAATGGGAGCTGCAAGAAGTAACAATTCACCTTCCTTTTGCTATTCTGGCTCAACTCCTCCTCGGGATGTTTCTTCTACTGGAAGTGACCAATCGGGCGGTCCCATGAGTTGCCATGAAATAGATTCAAATGGACCAAACAGCCTAGTGATTTCTAATGGGTCAGGAACCATTACTAACCACCTTTCAACTCACACTGAAGTGTATCATCTGGATGGAACTGCAAGGAATAGGATCCGAACTACAAAAGTTGAACCCACCCATGGGGATGAATGGGTTGAGCAAGATGAGCCTGGTGTATACATTACCCTTGTTGCATTGCCTGGAGGTATCAAAGATCTTAAGCGCGTTCGGTTCAGGTTTGTTATAACCACTGCCAACTTTCTCCCCTAATTCTGAGTTTCACGGTCTAAATAAACTGCATTGCCAGAAAAAAATATTAGAACGTCAGTTAAAGGGATTAAACCACCAAAATGCATCTGATTAGAATGTTAGTACGTAGTACTCAGCTCCAGTAGGGCACAAGTAATACGCTCTCTGTAGTTTTCCAGCTGTTCCATACCTTACAAGCAGCATCGGCCTCCTATTGCACTCATTGTCTTCGCTGTTTATTTAGGCAAGTAAAACATGAGTGTAGGGTTATTTCACGGATGTGGTTCTTATTCAATTGCACTGTAAATAAAAAACATTTAACTCTGTCTAGAAACATCATTATTCTCAAATCTCATACCGTCTTTTTTTAATCATAAATCTAATTTTTGTTCAAGTTGTTGGTCTTTGATGATCACTTCTATTGCTTGCGAACCAAAGTTCACCATTGTGGAAGCTTTATGAAAAGTAACTGATGGAAGTACCTTTGGAAATCATTTGACAATGGCCATTGTTTCTCGTGATTGCAGCCGGAGGCGTTTCAGTGAAAAACAAGCAGAACAATGGTGGGCAGTCAACAGGGCTAGAATATATCAAAGATACAATGTTCCCTTGGTCGACAAGCCTCCTGTTGGGTTAGCTCATTGACCTGCTGAATCATGCTACAGAATCCAAAGTTCTTCGAGCTTTTGAGGCTGAACCAAGGTAAGATGCCCTCGATTTTGTTTTCGTTTAAGAGGGTACGTAATAGTAGTCCGTCGATGCGAAACATGATTTGAGCACCTAAAATTTCCTCTGCAAATGTATGTCTGTACTATCGTTGATTTAGGAGATAAACAGGGACAAGGGTTGTTAGAATTGATTGAGTTTTTCTGTAAGTAGACCGCAGATTCAAAACAGATTGTAAATGTGTAAGAACTTACCAACCATCAGATTATTTTAAACTTTTTTCATGTTAAAGCAATTTAATCTTTTATTTAAAATTATTATATATGATATTATGTTCAACTAATTTATTAAAAATATTTAAAATTCTAGTCAATTATTATATATTTTCCTGACTAAATATCAATTATTATATTTTATAAATAATTATATTTGCCGAAAGAATTATAACTTCTTACAGTCAACTTTAAAAAATATTTGAAAATGCCAGTAATAGTATAGTGATACCATCCACATCTACCAATTAGATTAAGTGCTATTTTATTTGACAACTTTTAATTTATCCATTTAATTAATATAAACCAGGTCCAAACCGTTAAATCGATCGAATTAAAAAACAAATTATTAAACTACGTCTAATGTATTTTCTTGTTTTTTAGAATTATTAATATTTAATTCTCATACATTTGTTGAGTTCTAACGTATAAATCTTTTGAGTAATTTAGTAATTGTTTAATATCACATCAAGACTTTCTATATTGTGTATTTCATATAACTCTAAGCTTTAATAATTATTGTTTTATTTATTTATTTTTAATAGTCTAAGATAATTATAAGATAATATTTATTCAGAATTATCTTAATTATTATTTTATGTAGTTTTAATAGGAGTTTCAAGAAGAAAAATTTTAAGTCATAGTTTGATCAGTTTAGTTTAGTTATGGAATTAAAATTGTGTTGTTGGTAAGCTTGTATTTACATTTTTATAAATGTAAAATTATAAATAGAAAATTAAAAATCATAAGTCATTTGATTTGAAATATGTCCTTGTATCAATGACTGATAAATTAAGTTGTGTACGAAATTGAATAGGTGTGATAATTTGAATAATATAAAAAAATTTCATTTAAATTATTTAACGATTAAATAAGCAAAAATATAAAAAAAAAATATGATTGAAATGAAAATATAAAAAAATAATTGGGCATATTGTTTATAATTTTGAATCTTTTAAGTAATATTTATATTAATTCTTTTATTTTTCATAACATTTTATAACCAATACAAAACGAAGGTAAAAGCATCGATCTAAACTCACCAATCTCGCAAAAACCTAAGAAATCATATCAAACGAAAAATAAGGGAAGAGGACGAAATATTGAACCGAGTATGGCAAGAGACAGCTGCTTGGCTCGCGTCACCGCCGGAGTCGCCGTTGGAGGCGCTGTTGGTGGTGCTGTTGGTAAGTTCCTAGTTCTTCCACTCACTAAAACCCTAAACCTCATTGCTCTGTTTTGGTTAGGTACTCAAAACATTGAAATCAATAAGTTTCTCTTTTCATTTTCAGTAACATCAACTATTATTATCGTTTTGAAATCAGAAAGCCAAATGGAAAATAGCAATTATCGGCTTAGGATTCTGTAACTAAATGTTTAAATTCTGAGCTTTAAACAATGGTTCTTTTTTCATTGGATAACGGTTTCTTTCTTAACTGATTTTAGCTCACAGTGTTGATTCTTTGCAAGGAAATTGAGTGAAAGAAAAAACCCATCAAAGTAAAGAAAAAATGGGTTTTCTTTTTAGTTCATAAAACTCAAATTGAAACAAAACCCCCACTTTTGGTTTAAGAATGGAAGGGAATTCTTTATTTGTGTAATTTTAGAATCAGCTATTAGGCTTGCCATTTATTTATTTCCTAGCAAAAAGAGGAAAACAAACAAATAAATAGAAGGATTATATTTATGATCATAATTTGGTACCAATGTGGAAAATTGCTTCTTTTATTAATTTATTATATGTATGGAGGACCAAGTAAAAAGTATGAACTAATGATTTTTGGTTAACTAAGTACTTGTTTTGAGTTTTTTTCCCTTTTCTTTTTCATTGTTGATTCTTTGACTTCTTTTATGATCTCAATGAATTCAATGAGACTGATGTTTATGCTTATAGTAAATTGTCTTATTGAATATGCATTTAGACTATTAAGCAATTATCTCGTGTGATGGTTTGTTTCAGTTGGTATACTTAGAAAATATAGTGCTTAAATTGAAAAGAAAATGATTTCAGAGACAAAACTATTGCAAATCTGTAGTTTTGGGATTCAGAACAGTGTCATTGTTTCTTATTCTTGGCATATGTAAAACACGTTGCAATTCATTTACAGCTAACGATAGAGAGCTAGCTTCCATAGATCTCGAGCCATCCTTTCCATGGCTTTCAAACCCTATTCCTTTAGTTGGAAGCTAAAGTTCTAAGCATTAGGAACATGGTGCCTGAGTTCAATGCACACACACATAATTTTCAACTAACAATAGAGGCCATGTTCTAGGACAGCGTGCTCCTATGTTGTTTTGACTCTCTGTTTTTCTTGAAGCACCTCTGTATAAAACCCATGTTTGATTCATATCCGGACAAAATTGGTATGGAGACTTTATCCTCCAAAGGGATCGTCCAAATTCATGAAATAAACTTGAGAAATTTTCTGTTTACTCTTGTCGTAAACATTGTTTTACCTGTCAGCCACTCAGAGTGTCCCTAGAGATTGGAAGAATGAGGATGAATGATTAGGAAGAGGATTAGACGATTCTACAGGATTGCAGGGTCAGAGTCTTCTGTTGGTATCTTTTAAATGTGGCAACTTTCTATCTTTGCCAAACAAACTCCTTTCCTAGATCCTTTTTGACACGATTCTTAATTATTTGTTGCACTATATCATATTACTTGGTTTTATTTTTTATCTTTTACTTTTGGACTCTTAATGTGATTTTGCTCATACAGGTGCTGTATATGGGACTTATGAGGCTATTAGGTACAAGGTAATGTACAGCATTTTACTTTCTATTTCTAGAGATGAAACAATGTCAATTATGTTTTTACGTTTTCATATTTGCTGATATCTCACCACACGAATTACAATAGCGTTCCATGGATGTATGATTCATATTTCTATGAACCATGAAAACAGTATGCTGTGTCTTTGCTGTTTGCATAAGATCACTTTGTGCATATCGAGATTCATATTTTCGGATTGTGCAGGTACCAGGACTGCTCAAGATTCGATATATTGGGCAAACCACACTGGGTAGTGCGGCAATATTCGGACTGTTCTTGGGCGCAGGAAGCCTAATCCATTGTGGGAAGTCCTATTAAACCAATTCATTGCTCTTCTTAAAGGCCTCTCAGGATGGTGGCTTGGCTTTAATTATTACAATCAAAAGTGTTTTTATGCCTCGGTTCTGTTCATCAAGTTATTTGTATGGGCTTCTCTGGGTGAATGAAAATATGAACATATATTTCGACTTCAATGTCACATAAAAATTCCTTCTTTGCCTTTCTTATTTTCTGCCAACTTTTTACTATGATAATTTATCACCTCTGTTGAAGGGAGAAATGTGATTGTGGTGATGTTCGGCGGTTTACTCTTTTTAGTTTGGGCAAAGTGTCGCAGATGGTGGTACTATAGAGGAGGTAGATAGTGAGTTAGCTTACTGTTCATCGTCTTCCTGAGTTAACTCACTCTCTACCTCTGTACAGAACCACCGTTTGTGTTTTTTCACCCAATTCAGAAGAAATGAACAGTCAAATACTATCACTATCTCATCTCCATTAACAAAATTCAAGTTTGAATTGTAATTTGTCTCTCAGGTAATATTTTGTTTCAAGACCATCCATATCATGATTTTAATGTCGTTTTGACAACAAAATTAACATTGTATGTTTAATCATAATTTTAAAAGAATTCAACATTGCTAAATTTGTTGGATCTTTTATGCTCAAGTATAACACTTGGGTGTTAAAAGTGTAGATTTGTTTCTTTTTTAACTAAAATTTACAGAAAATTTTATGATTAAATTGTTATTAATTATTCAATTTTAAAATGAATAAACTAGTTTGTCCATTTTTGACTTTTTACCAATTTTAATGTATGCAATCCTTCTTTCACCGGAAATAAATGTATGCAATGCTTCGTTTTTCTTTATTTTGTTAGATGGGCATGTAGGAAAATTATTGTGCTGACATCTGATTCTTTGTATTATTTAGGTTAATTTGTAAAATACGTGTCTATTCATTAGATAATGAAACTTTTGTATGGACGTTAATGATTAGATATCAAAATAATAATACAAAGATACTTATTTGACAAAATAAATAAATATTTAAAATAAAAAATATATAATTTAAACACTTATTTTACAATTAAATCTTTTATTTGTTTATTTAATATCAGGTATAGGTTTCAGCCCAGCTTTCTTTTGTAGGAATCTATTCCATACTATTTTAAGTCAAATACTCTGTTTTGTTAGGCTTTATTTAAATTGGAAAATAAATAGTATTTAATTGGAAATAGTTAAAAAAAAAACTGTTGACACGATATTCATTATTGAATCAAATTAAATCTTCAAACTTCAACATTCTTAAAAATTGAATTCAATTAGGTCTTAATATCAGCCACGTTTTTAGTTATACATAAATTAAATAAATCAAAGTTGGGAAACGAAAGCAAAATGAGGATTATTGTTCAAGCATTCCAATTTCCATACAATAAAATACAGCAAAATGATGCCAATGGTTGCAATATTCAGGTCCAAAGAAAGCGATGCATAGTTTTAAGAGAGACCCCAAAACAGTACAAATACTCTACAATCATAGGTGTTACTGTGGCATTTGGCCATGAGGTGGGGGACCTGTCGTCGGCTGAGACGGCATACCAGGCTGACCACCGGACTGCAGTAAGTGGAAGCAATAACAAGTGAGTTTCGTATGAACACGAGTACTTTTACCTAAATACAATTGCCTCAGAAGAGGCTGCATGAAAAATGCAGGCGTGTTCCGTTATACCATTAAAAATGGGGAGAGTCAAGAAAGAAGTAATATACTCAGTTACGTGATTCTTATTGATGTTCTATCACATATTTTGGCCGTGAATCCGGTCACCAACATAAAATATAGGGACAGGCAGAACAAGATCAAGGAGAGAGAATTACATCATTTACCTGGTAAGGATTGTGCCCAGGCCTCATTGGCATCTGACCACCCTGCGCACGATTGAATGCACCACCCTGCAGATACATTTGGCCGACGCCCATATTTGCTGGGCCCTGCATATTCTGCATACTATTCGGAAAACCTCCAACTGAAGGGCCACCACGACTAGTGGGAAATGATCCTGAGTGCCTAGGAGTCGCACCCATAAAATGGCCTTGTGGTATGGAGGAGGCATCTGATTCATAGTACCTTGCATACCCTAAAATTTTGAAATACATTTGATCAAGCTTCTAAAATTTGTCTAACCCGTGTCCAAAAATTGTATGCATCTCGTCCATGTATGCAGCAAGTCAGGCAAATGAACCATAGAGAATAAAACATGTGCCCTCTTTGGAAACAAATTAACTACAATTCACGGGAGCAAATAATTTGAAAATGAAAACCATGGTTGCAAACAGAAAAATATGCAGTAGAGCTATTTACAAGGTCATACCAGTGGACCAGGCATTGATGAAGATGGATTGAAAGATGCTGGCATTGAGGATGGAACTGGCGAAGGCATACCATGAGGAGGGCGTTGTAAATGAGGATGTAGATGCATGGGCACATGAGAATGCGATGGAGGTTGTAGCTGTTGCATATTTGGAGGTGCCATTGGCATAGGTGCATTTGCTGTTGCATTGTCCGTTGTTGCTGTTGTTGAATTTGTTGAGGGTCTTGTTGATATCCATGCTGCTGATTGGCTAGAAGAGATGGATGTGGTCCAGGAGGAAGAGGAGGAGCTCCAAAAAGCATGGGACCTGGATGAATCTGCTTTTGGTCCCCCTGAGAAGATGCATCAAGAGATGGAACCGATAATGGCATAGGAACTCCGATACCAGGAATTGTTCCCTCATTTCGAGTTGCAAATGGTCCTGGGGTGGTTGGGCCTTCAGGTGCTGCAAAATTGCCGGGCATGCGTCCAGCTAATGCAAGATTTTGCTCACCATAGCCTACATGCAGTTCATAGTGCTATTAAGTATTAACCAAAGTACAAATAGTCCAACATATTTACAGAAGTTTTGTAATAAATACAATGACTTGTGCGACTGAATTATTCAGATAAAGTGGACAATAAATAACAGCTTAAACATCCTTTTCTTTTTGCCTATTTCCTTTCCAGATGGGGAAGATGAAAAACTGTAAAAAAAAAAAAGAGGCAATAAGTAGAAATCTTGATTCTGACCAATGTTAAATTTATCGCGAGCAGTATCTCCAGGCCTATTTCTGCACCAAAACTTTGTTGTGTGATCATTGCTACCACTGCATGATTATGTAAACAAGTTATACAACTGATGATGGGTTTGACATAAGACTGATGAGACTTGGTGCTTATCAGTACAGGGATGTAGCCTGGAATAAATACCACTAGAATGGAAAAGAACATAAAATCAAATAAAACCAGATGAGCTCTAGAAATTTTGTTGTATTTAAACCATACACTGCATTTACAATGTTCGCTGATCAAATAGTATTGAGCCAGACAAGGATCAGATAATATTTCAGTTTCACGGATGTCCACAAACCAATTTCGTTCAGTCTCTATCTCAAAAAGTCAAGCATCAAATATAGCCAACACTAGCCTGCAGTCAAACAGTTGTACGCATATCGACAAATACAAGCATAGGCATGCATACAACTATTTTAATTTTCATATGAAATGCATAAACTACAAGGAAATTTTTAAAGGTAGAAGATTCGAAGTAAACTTTCATTATATGTGTTATGAAAGGAAAAATATATCATATACATATACATAAACACTCAAATAAATAACACACCCATACTTTACTCATAATATTCCCTGACATTCACCATACACAACCCATAGTATTCTATTAACCCGTAATATTCTCTAACAGAAATCAACAAGAAGCATGCAGGACAATTATAAGTCCTAGAATGGGTTTACCTGCATAGAAGATATCCAATAGGATGCCAGGCAATATCCCACACACTATTATCATGTGCACTGGGAAGGTCAACCTGTGGAGTTTCATGCCTGTACATCAGAATAATGTTTAGCAATTGTAAGTATAAAATATCACCCACCCATCATTAATGCTAAAGAGTCTAAATCCCCCCTTAATTTTTCACTTCTTCAAAGTAAGCATTTATGTTTTTATTGTACCCAAATAAGTCTAACCCTCAATTTTCATCCAAATACACTCTTATTACACACAAAAATAATTTTTCTTTGAATTTTTTTATTTAGGTACAAATTAAAGGTTAGAGGACTATTTGGTTATAAAGGTTAAAGGCTTATTAAGGCATCATGAATTTAGTACATGAATGTGAAAAGGCATCATTATGAATCCAGTACGCGTATATAGTAAATAAATGAGTAGGGGTGTAAACGAGCCGAGTCGAGCTCGAGCATTGTTGAGCTTGACTAGACTCGAAAACTTGTGAGCTTAAAATTTTTAAGCTCGACTCGAAATCCTGAACTGAAGCTCGTGAGCAGCTCGAAAAGGCTCGAAATGAAAAACAAATCTTAAACTTAACAAAATTGAAATCCTTAAACTCGAACTCGAACCTAAGTCTTAAATACATGAAATACTTATTGTATTTTTTTAAAAAAATCAACACAAATGTTAATATTATTAATAATTTATTTTTTAAAAATAAAATTAATATATTATATTTTCAAGCTACTCACGAGCTTTTCGAGTCAAGTATCAAGTAGCCCGTTTCGGCTTGTTAAGAATTCGAGTCGAGCTCGAGTTTGAGTCGAGTCCATTCGATCCGAGTATTTATCGAGCCTTGACCGAGTCGATCTCGAGTAGCTCGGGATCTGTCTCGTCTCATTTACAGCCCTATAAATGAGGACGCTTATAGATAAATATCATAAAATGAATTTTAATATGAAAAATAATTTAACATAAATACTAAAAACGAAGAAGAAAAAAAATACTTTTTTTAAAGTAAAAACTCTATTTCCCTCACGGTATCATTAGCCAATATGACTCTGACTATGTGTTTTAACATCATCCAGATCTATAATTTTTAACATGTTTTGATGTCTTTTGTAATTGACATTGTCACTCGCCAACTTAATAATTCAACCTAAATATAAATTCCAAGAGACAAATAACCAAGGTAATAGTGAAACAAATCATACAAATGATAACCAAGGTCTTTTGTGACCTGGAGCATAGAGGACAAGACAAAACTAGGGAATTCAGTAATGCAGCCAGTACACTTACCCAACAAGCCAATGGAAAATGGATCCATCATAACTCCCACTGACAAAGTATTCTTCATGGAATGGGTGCCAAGACAGTGCTGGAAAAAGCAGAGGTCAATATGTTAAAGAATTCTTTATTCAAATCATGCAAGAAGAGAATTAAATGATCAAGCAAGATAATAACTATAAGCCAC